AGGTGCTCCTCATGGTCCTAAAGACTGCTCGAAAAAACAATGAGATCGTCAAGAAGCACAATAACTTCTTTGAGATGCAGGCTGCCCATACATTTTTCCATGACACGCTGAAATGTACTAGGCGCATTAGTCACTCCTTGCGGCATTCTATTGAATTCCCAGAATCCCATTGGTGTTACGAATGCTGTTTTACTCTTGTCCTCTTCTTCAACCTCGACTTGATAGTAGCCGGATTTTAAGTCCATAACAGAAAACCACTTCGATCCTGTTAGTGCTGAAAACGTCTCTTCAATGTTGGGTAGTGCATATGCGTCTTTTATTGTCTGATTGTTAAGCTTTCTGTAATCAACACAGAGACGAATTGAACCATTTTTCTTTTTCACAACAACTATTGGCGAAGCGAAGGGACTTTGGGACTCACGGATGATGTTGGCATCACAAAGCTCTTTAAGATGAAGTCTGACTGCTTCATAATCTGAAGGATGGATGGGCCTCACCCTCTGCTTAAAGGGAGAGGGATCCGAAAGACAAATTCTGTGCTTGACCACTGTGGTGTGACCATAGTCAAGATCTCCAAGAGCAAAGACTTCTGGAATGGAATTAAGCTTTTTTGTGATTCTTACTTTCCATTCTTCAGAGAGAGGAGAATCTGAAAAATCGAATGCAATCTTGCTGTCAGAGCTTGACGAACAGACTATATTGCATCCAGCAGGCATAGACAGCGGGGAAGCTAAAGACTTGCCCTCCGTAACAGGACTAGTTTTCAGTGGGTAAATAGATGTCGGAACGTAAAGCTCTGCTAACAGGAGGTTCGCAGGAAGGGTGATATCATGGGCCGCTTCATTCTTGACGAGAATAGGAACCTTGAATGATGTTCTTCTTGGGCTTGTAAGAACATACTTACAAAAGAAGAGGCCACCAGGAAGACCAGGATGGGTAGGTGGCTCAACTACAAGTGGAACATTAGCAGATGTAGACACTTTTCTTGTGTATCCATTTAAGACCATTTTCTGTCCAGCTGGAATGGTAACACAACTCTTGCTTTGTAGTTTTACTTGACCCACTTTGCCTTAGCTTTGCTCGATGGTGTATCTCTTATGCTAACCATACACTAGAAGACTTTGAAAAGACTTTTGAAAGACTAAAGTCTGACACCCTCTCACATCTAAAGACAGTGTCACGTTTTTTAGTCACAGAATGATTTTGCAAAGACTAGGAATCCTGCAGTGTCACTATTTACAAGACTGCAACTAGATTTTTGAGGATATTTCCCATCATGCACCTGGTGGAAATATACAAGCAGATAAACACTTTTCCTTCCACTTTATAGTGGTACAGATGGGAAGATACGTTGGCTGGGTGTGTAAAGATCTGGGGCTCACAGCAGTTTACTGTAGCACTGTATACTCTGGCAGATCATCACCCAGAATCTTTTAATTAACCTGTAAAATGTGCAGTTACTTTTTTAATTTGATATAAAGATTTACACATCAACACAACATGCAGCGATTCAGCATTGTCGACTGGGTGTCATGAACTAAACCATAAGAAACAAACAAACAAAATAAGAAACCAGTGTAACAGAAAACAGAAAAAAATAGAAAAACATTGATGATTCTTCAATAATGGCATTCTTAAAGTCCTCTGCACATTTCCTTACATGTTACAGGCTCAGTGAAATATTAAAACAGTCAGTTTACATTTTAAGTTAATATGATTATTGTATTGAGTTGCCGTTTTTTACAGAGATTTCAGGCAGTCATGCCTGCATATTCTCTCTCTCTCTCTCTCTCTCTCTCTCTCTCAAAAAAAAGTCTTAAAACTTATGATAATATTAAACACGGTTGATTTTGTCGCAGCGTCAAGACGAGAGAAAGACTGACTTAAGACCTCCATCTTGACCACCTTATACCAAACGATTGAGATGACGCGACGCGACTCTAACAAGACTCTCGTGATTTTATTCCGACATGGATATTTGGCTGCGACAGTGAAATCGCTTGAAAAGACGTTTGGTGTAAGGCCGGCATTAAACAGACTCTTCACCAAGGGTGCACACGTGTGATGTAGTTGGCTGAACAGTTATTGTCATTTATAGCACATGACTTGTACAGGATGTCATGGGTGTTAATAAGCACTGGAACCTCAATATTGGACTTGTTGTTAGAAACCACAAGAACAGTTTCTTCTTTCCCAACAATAATCTCTGGGAAATAAATGTTGACTGCAACATAACTCAAATAAGGAATGGTTTGTCTTCCAGTACCTTCAACTTCAGTGTGGTTGTTAAGAGGAAATATTGGCATAGAGGACAAGTATGTATCATTAAAACGACTTTGATATTGTTGACACTTGAGTTCCATCAATCTGAACATCTGCAGGGCATCTAGAACCTACTAAAGCAGAGATCCGTTCTTTCTCGGGAAGATGAGAACTATGATTTTGACATTTGGCTCTTCTGGGTCTCCATTCACTGGGACTATTCTTCCTGCAATGGGTCTCAGTATGTCCCGTTACTGAGACCATGTCCAGTTTTACAGCATCCCCTGATTAAATTTCCACTTGTCTTGCTTTCAGTTATTTCTACTTTTGGGCTACAAGCGTTTTGTTGATGGAGCCCTCACGTTTTGTGTATGTGGCCATCTTTTCCACATCGGGAACAGAACCAGGGCTTTGGCCTATCCTTTTCGGAAGAATGGCAGTTGTTTATATTTGTTTTTCTGTAATATTGAAAAAATCCACGAGTACTTTGCAGTACAAAACCTTGTATCTCCAAAATGGTAACTTTACAGGAGAAGGAAAAAAAAAATCTTTACTTTGAATGTAAGTCAATGGAACCAGACATTTTTTTCTAAGCCATTCTGCGCTGTTTCTTTTGGTCCATTCTAATGTAAAAAATGTGTTTTCATTAAGGGTTAATTACTATAAAAAGGTATTTAAAAACACTTAATTTTATTTATTTATTTATTTTATTTTGCTGCCACTCTGCTTTAAAAAAAAATAACAATATGTATTCTACATTGTGAAACATCTTAGGATATTATTATGATCAAGACATCTTAAAATTGTGTCTATAGACATGCCTTAAAAACATGTTTTTATGCCTCAAGATGTCTTTATAAATGTGTCTTCAGATGTGTCTTAAGATGTCTCAAGATATAGTGATAGCTGGGTGTGAGCCTATTGCTCTGTTAACCAGAAAATGTCTCTCCAGTACATTACATAACTTGTAATCACAGTTGTTGGACTCACTTGACTGAATTATTTGACAGACGATAAGTTTCTCCATGTTACACATACAACGGATTCTGAATAATTTCTATACAGATAATGAATTGCAGCACTTACTAAGTGAAAATCAAGGTCAAATCTGGCAAGACTCATTCCTGTACATGAAAAACAGCTATATGCAAAAGTTCGAGTGCCCTAATAGCAATTCACCAAAACAAGTACATAAACAATAATTAAAATAAAAAAGAAAAACTTTCAACAACTTTCGAATGTGTGATTGGAATGCTCCAAAACAAACTTATTCAGTGCAACTTACTACAAATCTTGTGAAATAATATTAGGAACTTTGGAACAGTTGACCATTTTGCTCTAAAACAAGTTGTACTCAATCAAGTGCAACCTACATGACATACTGCAACTTTTATCTTAGTAATTTTTACCTCTACTGGCCAAATGTCTGTCAAGTAATTCAGTCAGATAAGTCTAACAACTGTGATTACCAGAAATGTCATATATTGAATGAGTTTTTTCTTGTTTTGTTTTGTTAACAAAGTAATTATTAATACAGCTCTTTTTTAAAACGTTCATCATTCTCATCATATGTAATATATTAAAGGGGCTACTGTGGCGCAATTTTACTGAACGCAAAGTGTTTTTTCTCCACTGATCTTCACTTGTGTCTTTACTGTAATGTAATTTGTACACAGCCCCTCAGCTCTCGCGGGGGTCGCGGCAGCACGTAAAAAAACAATGGTTTCCGTTTTTTTTCCAAAGACATACATTTCTGACCTAAACAAAGTTGTAGCTGCTTGTCTTGGATGTAAACAACGATAATTTGCGTTTGTTAACCCTTTTGCATACATCGTTCGAAAGCTACTGAAGAACGAATTCAAATGTGCGAATATAAAACCAACTTTACGGCAAGCTCGTATTCTTACATCGCCAAAAGGAGACAGTCTCAACAACAAAAGGTAAAATACTGCGAAAAAGGTTGTGATAAATAACTGCTATACTTGTTTACTCTTCTTTTAAATAGTAAAATGTCTAACATGGTATGTTGTGTGTTGTCTCTCAGACATCAGCCATCCTAAATACTCCAGTGACAATCTAGACAACTCAGGAATCTCCAAGATTTAACTTAGCTAGCCCAAGTGGGCTTATTCGTGTTGAGTCAGCTTTACTAAGAGTGATTCCATTGTTTTATACCAGACCTGACGCAAGACAAAGTAGCACACGTTTATAGCCAACAAGCCAGCAAACATCAAAACTGTGCTCTTTCTCCGTTAATTTACTTCATGATAAAAGGCATGTTCACGAGCACGAACGCCCCCTGTTGCTGTGATTGGCTGGAATGTGTGGCTCAGTCCGAGACAGTTTGTTTATTTCCCTGGGCTGTGTACCAACACTTGCTTTCTTCCAGCGTGCATGTTAACAGCTAACAGACCAGCAGAAGATATTTGCTAAATTTGACAAAAAGTGTATTAGATTAAAACTGGACCTTTAATATGCCCTCCTCCATCACTTGAAGAGTTCTCTCTTCTAATCATATTAAAACCATTAAGGCTATTGCATTTTTAGGTTGGAATTTTAGGTTGGTGGGATTAAATTATTAATTTTTTCGTTATATTATTTATTTTCTCCAAAACCTGTGTAGTAGTTACTAAACAGGTCCTGTTTAAAGCCTCCAATTTTTAGCCCAAAATTGAACACTTGCTATTACCCAGTCAGAGGCGGAGCCTGACTGAATACAAGTGGGATTTAAAACAGCGACCGTTCCACCTGTTTCCGTGATCTCGTGGTTCCAGCGTGAAGCCGCTTCAGGCCAGGTGGTGGCGCTAATTCTGAAAGCATAACTTTCTCCAACTGCACTAAAGCGGAGAAGCAGAAGATTGTGTTGTGGTCAGTAGACCACGCCTCCGCGCTCATATACCGAGGAATACTGAAGAACAGAAACAGAAGAGCTGAACTGTTGAGGGTAGGGAACTGTGCGACACTTTAACACTCACTGTTCTTCACAAACAGCTGGAGACACATTTGAGTTTTGAAAATAAGATTTGATGGGTTTAAAATAAATTCGCCAACACAGAAGCAGCCACGTCTGAGTGATATTATGCTACATTCAAGTGCTCATCAGAAGGCTGTATGTATCAGATTGACTAGTAAACAAGGCGATGCTTGTTCATAGAGAACGTCACCGTAAAAAAGAAAGCGTGGAGATATGGACAATACGGGTCCCGCCTTTTATGTATAAAAGCACACAGATCTAATAGAAGCGAGTCAGGTATTTTTTTACATTCACTTTTAAGTTTAGCGTTTTTCACTCGTGTAAAAGGTTCAAGGTCGAGTTATACGTCACATCGTGTCTCCTAGAATCCTGTTTTTACTCACTGTAGCCTAAATCTGTTCGAGCGCAGTTTACAAGTGAGAAAACTGTCATTTGCATTTCCGACACCAACAATTTGGTTGACAAAGTTTTCCCAAATATGTCTGGCAAACGTAGAGCAGTGTGTTTCTGATTTATCTATGATTTATACTTTATATGTGCTACTTGGAAAACCTGTGAATTAATTTATTGTGGTAATAATGCTATAATGCTGTTATTTCTAGTGGATGAAATTTTTTTTTCCAGCCAACTTTTGAAACAAGCTTTGTGAATCATGGCATATCTCATGTGTTTCTGTTCTTTTGTGCACTAATGTTATCTTCATTTTTGAACAAACTGTGAAGATGAGTCCTTTATGTGCATTACTGTCTGCTCCATTGACAGTTTGTGAACACATAAGGCAGATCTTATAAAAAATATTGAACATGCTTTAGTAAGTGCAGAAATATTGACTGATTTGCTGACGTCATCCAAGATGGGAATAAATATATGTGCACATGTGATGAGAAAAGAACGAGAAGTACTTCCTAGGAGCTTGTCTTGTCTGGGTGGGGGTGCTATGGTGACTGGCAAGACCCTGTTGGGTAATTTACCAGAGCATAACTACGAGAAAAATTTAGGAATGTATGAAAACATTTATTCATAATTTTTTGTGATGAGATATACCCCAAAACTAAAAAGAGAAGACCACCCATTGAATTTTAGAGTAAAATAAGTTACAAAAATTAATAAGCAACTTGTTTTTCAGGCCTCCAGGAAGCATAAAACATGAAAAAAGGAAACATTAAAAGAATGCCTAAAATAGAGAAATAATTTCAGCAAGTTAGCATGTTCGCACAAACACACATAACCTCACACACAAACACTTAACTAAGACAAAAGCTTAAAGAAAATCAGCAGGCTAAAACTGAGAAAAAGAAAGACAGTGTTGAGGGTGAGGGCACCTGCAGGTGTCTTCTCCACCTAACACAGACGTGGTCAAAGCAGTTGTAGCTTTATGCAAATTATATGTAAATTAGACAGACTCTACATGAGAATATCAAAACTATTATAATGCGGTCTTGGAAGGGCTCAAAAACAAAACTGAACACAGTGTCATTGGTGAGATTCAGTCAACAAAGACAGAGTCCCTCATGTTTATCTTAATGACGTCAGCCAGAGTCACTCTGTCAAGCCAAAGGTCACTTTTTCCCAGTTAAACGATGATGGAAATATCCAGTTCAGAGTCCTGTACACAGTGTAAAACATGATAATTGCATTAACTTTGTTATTTTACTTTACTGAAGTTAAAGATACTAGTACAAATACAGTAACACATACTGTTTCTTGTTTACCTTAGTTACTAAGGTAAATCTAGTTAAAATCAGTTAATTTGGATAAGCATATCCTAGCAAACTTAGTATTTTCATTGGTTTCTGACAGTGAACTTATATTTTCAAATTTCTAAATATCATGCTCTGTGCAAAATGTTATTTTTGTGTCAGAGTATACTCTTATATTAAATATGAAGTTTGGCTGCGTTTTAGATGCTTTATGTTATTCTTACCGTGATGGTGTTTTATGTTCAGATTTAAAAGTTCAGGCTGTACCGATGAATGATAACAGAATGGTAAATATGCATTAAGCTATTAGAAGTCCTTGAAAATGGGTGTCTTTAGTCTTAACTAAGCCATTTATTTGTTACCATACAAAAACAGTCCATTTTATATAATGGAGTTGTTTCAATTGATGCTGATATAATACACAAAGAAGAATATTTGATCCAACTTAACCTGACTAATTCAAGAGTAAGCTGAACTTGATAAAGAAGGGTATTGTAGACTAATTTAAGTTTACAGTTCAGGCTACTAGTGTGTTTGATAGGATAGATTGGAGTTCACAAGGAACATGTCACAGGCCTCATAGAGACAAAAAAGCCAAAGAACTGTCATTTCTAGGTGTAAGAAATATATTCTTAAACATTCTATATTAAAAAGATTTATTTTAGTTTTTATTTGATTACGGGAAACATTATGCATCCCTTCAACCCAACGAGCGGCAGATAAAAACCCAGCTGCGAAAGCAGAAAACACTGATCAAATTGACGACGTATGCGTTGCATTTCACAAATGAGCTGCACAGAAAACACATTTAGCTTTAGAAACACTGCAGAGTCAGTCACAGCACTGTGGAAATGTTCCTTTAGGACACTCATAAAAGACAGAGCCATTCAGAATTGCAGCAGAAACATTCACCAGTAAAAGTAACCCCTTGTTTCAATATCTGGTTTGACACGCCCTCATCCACTTGGCCTCATCATTTACCCTCGGGGGAATCCCCAGTGCCATCTTAAAGGCAAATAAAGTTGTTTATAAACCATAGCGCAATAAGCTACTTCAAAATACTTATCATTTCCAAAACATAACCTGATTTTCTGGCCTTAAAATTACAAATTGCCCCATCTGTTATACATGACTGCTGATACAACTTCATCACTGTACACAGCTAGCTGGCTTGTTAGCATGCTAAAGGCTACATGGTTAACAAGAACAAAAATAAAGACAATAAACCATGGTTCTACTCCAAGTTTGTAGCCATACAAAGCAATTCCTTGCATGCATTAAGTACATTATGCTCACACTCTTAGAAACATTGCAAAAACATTGCATTGTGAAGCTTGCATGGCTAGGCGATTAGCTCACTGAGGCCGAAGGTGTGTGCCATTTGAATAATCCGCTCCTTACTGTCACCTCCTCCCCTTCTGTGGTGAGTTGGACATTTGTGTAATATAGGTGTGAAGCACATCCAAGTGGTAAGTCGATGTAGGTATGGGTAAGTTAAAAGAGAATTAAAACGGGCCTAAATAAACTGGCAAAACTCGTGCAGATAACAACACTGTATTGTGATGAGAATAAGCTGTAGCTTGTAACTGATTTCAATACCAGGACTAAAAATACTGTATTACCGATATGACATGTTGGATAGCTAAATAGCCAATCAAGTTAACCATGAACTGTACTGTGTTTGTTAATGTAGTTCAGGTGTAGTCTTGTTAATGAAAGTGTTTATGAGTTTGTTTGGTAGCAGTGTCTATGGTGGGTGTTTTAGGTCTGTTTAGAAGGGGGGGGTCTAGTGTGTGAGAGCCGTTCAAGAGCTTAATGGTCTAGTTCAGATGTTCTCAATCCTAGTCTTGGAGACCACATGCTCTGCATAATTTTGTGCTTTCCCTACTCGAACACTTACAATCCAGCATTTAACAGTTTATGAGTTGAATTAGCAGTGCAAGATAAGAGAAAGTATAAAAAAGGCCATAGTGTTGACTCTCCAGGACTGGAACTGGAAACCTCTGGTTTAGATTAAACTGAAACTGGTCTTCGATCTTTCACTCTCTCTCTCTAGACAGCATGTGTGTGAAAAGAGTGTGATGGGGCAAGTAGTCATATTCAGGATGAGTTATCATTCAAACATGAGCATTTTACACATTCATAGATTTCACATTTGTACCTTTACTAGTTCTTCTGCACAAATTTTAAAATTCGACTTAGTATGATACGCTGGTGTTTTGATAAATTTTTCCATAGTAGTGCATTAAATTCTGGAGTCAGCTGGCTAATTTGTCACTGCCTTCAAAAGCACCTGTCTTGCTGGGGGCATTTTAACCCCAACTGTTTTCCTTGCATTGACACTGTTGTGGGCATTGATTGTGTATGTAGAACAGGCTGTTGTATATGCTGTTTTGTACATCACTTGCACCAGTAATACTGTCTTCATCCACCTTAAGGAAACTGCTTTATTTCTAACACAAAAAGGACAAAACGTTTTAATGTTTTAATGTTAATTTTTTTGCTGATTTATGTCAACCTAGTGTGAAATTTAGCTGTCAACATTCATACGCATTGATGTGAAGTCGTACAAGACAGAACCAGGCAGGTGAAAATAAGCTTTTGTGTTTTAAACTTTTATATGGTCTTGTGAATTACACTACTTTCATTGTTCTGGATCAATGTCAGTCTGTAGTCTTTGCTCCCATTGTGTTTTCCCCATGCATGCTGAAAAACTGAACTGCCTCCAGCCATTCTGCCTGTATTTTTCTTCCTTGTAAATAGGGCTGGGCGGTAAAATGATAACGATAATTATCACAATATAACTTTCCTCAATAGAACTATAAGAACTGTTCGATAAATGTTCGATATAATACACCATTCTCACACTTCCACATTCTAGCGACAGCCCTGGTGGCGTTTTCTACTGCAAGGAAAAGCGCACTTCCACGTTTTTCGACATGATTAGAGAGGGAGGGGGTGACAAGTAAAATAAGTCACCAAATATACTACAGCAACGTCTGAAACGTGGAGTTATACATTCCCTGTTTGAGTGGAGCGATCGGCGATCTGTTCTCCTGTGACCAAGTGCGAATGACGAGATAAGTGGCGTAACTGTACTGTCCTAAAGTGAACTCACCTCTTTCCTAACATCCGAACAAGCTTTAGCAGCATTAAATCACGTCTGCTCCTCACAACTAAAGCTCTGTTACAGCACTCAAAAAGTCATATTTTAGTATTAGTGCATTCCCGAGCAACGAAAGTGAAAGGAAGAAGTGGGTTCATTCAAGTTACAGCCATGATTTAAACAAAAGTAAACCGAGGAAGCTGTGAGGCATTGGAAAGCGGGAGAGCGCTATTTTTCCAGGCTAGCTGTTTTTAGCAGCTGGCTAACTTGAAGCAGCGCTCCGTCACTCGCACAACACAGCAAATTGATGTTACTGTAGATCAAACAAGACAAAAAAGCACCTATTTCAGTTTAAACGTAGCTAAAAGGAGGACTCTGTTTGTCTGGTGTTAGATATATTGCGGTTCAACCCTCAAACTACTATAGAGAAATCCAGATGTCTGCTAGCTGGTGTTTGAATAATGTGATATGCTCTGACATGGATGTGGTAGGAGTGACGGCAGTAAGGCAGTGTGACCCATCACTGATGTACCAAACCAGCTAATGTTTGCTGTTCGTACTAAGTTGACGTTGTTGAGAAACTAAACAGTTTAGTACTGTTGTTGGCCACTTGTTTAGCATTTGTAACGGGATAGCCTAGCACTTGGCACCAGACAGCTAAAATTGTTTTCTTTCTTAAATTATGACTATTACAAAAACTGTGGCTGTGCTTTTCCAGCTGGTAAAAACTGCTAACCACAAACTTTCTCCCACTATCCCATGACAGATTTGTGAAATGTTCCACTGTTTGGCGAGACCATTAAGGGTAGTTTATAACAGCAGTTAACCACTCAGGAGCAAAAATCTGCCTTCAAACCTGAAAGAAATAATGATGTGACATTTATCGCGATATGTATCAATATCAAACAGTATGAATTTTCCTTATTGTGATAACATTTTTGGCCACATCACCCAGCTCTACTTGTAAAAGAGTTGTAAAGACTTCCTCAGCCCCTCTTCCTCAGCTCCTCTTCCTCATTCCCACCAGCTTCTATTACGTTCATCTCAGTAGTCCCTGATGACAGAACCATAAACAAACTGATTACAGACCAAAAGTGCTAGTAAACAGCAAACTAGTATTTTAAATGAGATTATCTGTTGTATTGAAGTGTGTTTATCCAGCTGGCTAAGCTTACTTATGATAGCTTGACGCATCCTGTCACAAGCAAACTGTCTGAATTTAAACACTTAAATGATTTCTAGAAAACTACAAACAGAAATATGTTAAATGTTTTACCAATAAGCAGTCAATCAGAACAGTAAAGACAGAAGACAAGAATAACTTACCTTTGTAAATGCATTTATTGACAGAAACAGAAGCAATGGAACTCTCGACTGTAGAACAGTAATGTGGGATTGCTACACACAAATATGAATAACACCAAGTCCTTTATTTACAAGTATAGCACTGTTTATCTGAACAGGGGATTTTCCATGATTTCCATGGCAATTCATCACGCGTGTTAAAGAAAATGATGGCGCATTGATAGGGAAATTGTGTGCAGACAATCTGCCAAGGGATCCCCTTTCAGTCTGTTTCCCAGCAATATTTGGCATTAGCTGTTAAAAATAAATAAATAAATAAAAAATCGGATTAAATATTGCACGCACTAGACACTTGTTCTATGGCTGCTGGCTCCAGTTGCCAGCCAGTCCGAAGGTCTTATTAAAAGGTTTTCTGCACTCTCGCAGGGGGAAAAGAGTAAATTAAATAAGTTACAAATACAAGGAATTTGTCTTGGTGAGTGCATATATATGATGTGCAATATATTGAACAGACAAGACAAGACAAGCACACAGACTATTAACAGATATTGAACCAAGAGACAAATAATATAGTTATACTATAAGTAGAATAAAAAGAATAATACATGTGCTAATGTGAATGTGTCAATATCTGAACATATTCAGATATGATTATCTATACATATGCAGGTCTGAGTAGATATATACTAACTATTATATACAGAACATTACAAAATGATATGGGAGTGGCTGTAAGAGGTGATGAGCTGTTATTTTGCCTGCATGCTCCGCCACTCTGCTGTTGTAGGTGTCCTGCAGCGTTGGCAGACTACATCTAATCATCTTCTCCGCCATTCCAGTTACTCACTGGGGTCTGGCTCATTCTTGTATGGTGGAACTAAACCAGGTGGTTATGGATGATGTGAGAATATTATCGTATTTTGCCAAGATTGAACAAGTTTAATGACCATGAATTGCACAGAAATTGAAACATTCTTCTTAGAGAAAGCTAACTTTAGTCAGGACATCTCTGCTAGTTACATGTAGTAGCCAGCTTAGAGCCCATTTACACCTTGTTTTAACATTTGTTTTCTGTCATCACATCACATTCACATTTTATGTCATTGCATGAAAAGCCAGGTGTAAACACCCCCAGGACGCATTGTAATTTGATTATAATCAGATCACTCAAACCACATTCAGAGATGGTCAAAGACGTATCTTGACCGCATTTTGTGTAATGGAACAGAAGTGTATGTACAGTTATGTAAGCAGAAATGCATCTGCCCAATCAGCGTATATTCTTTTTACATGGGAAAAGTACAGTCAGATCTCATTTGGTCACAGTGGGGCACATTTTTCTCTAAAGTGTGAATGGAATCTAGCCAAAGTTTATCCAGATACAATACGACCCAAAAAACACGTTAATGCAAAGTGTAAACAGGCTCTCAATTCGGGTGCTGTATTAAGTACAATGTGTAATGAGCTCACTGTTAACTCACACTTACAACAAACAAACTAATAGAATAAAAGTCTAACAATGAGCAAAAAAGAATGTCTGAACTGGCTTTTTCTTTCTACTTTTTTTTCCTGCTCATTATGCTGTCTGATGTCTGTTTTACAATAGTTTTGCAGTTAGATTTTGGCTTAAAGCATTTTTTTTTTAGATATTTATGGTGGAGTGGAATATGCAGGGTGTTGTAAAGCAAAATGGTCCCCTATGAATGTTAGTTTCCTGTGAAAAAGAAAACTTTTGTTTCAAATTTTTACTATTTTACCATCATCAGAATTATTTATAAAAATTCAGAAGACACATGTAGGTTCACTGGTGGTTTTTGATCATAAATAAAATGGCTATTTTTGTGCCCTCTGGTTCCTGTTACTACCACTGTAAAGAAATCAGTAAGTTTCTCTACAGTGAATAATTTGACATGTAATCCAATAACTTTGGTTACATCGCAACCATTGAACTATGCAGACAAATTGAAAAATCAGTGTATTTTCCCCTTTAATTGCATCCCATTAACAATACCCAACCATCTTAAACCCTTTATATTAATGTCACTCACGATTGCGAGTAAATAACACTGAATCATTTGAGGAAACCTACAATATGTTCTTTATTCTACAATGTCTCTGTGAAGCACTTATAACTTTTGTATTTACCCATATCATGGTGAGATTGTGTAAAAAGATAAGGGGGAAAAACACCTCCCACAAACAGCAAACCTTTTTTACACTCTTCAGGTTCTCTTGTTGTTGTTGATGTGTCCAATCTTATTCGCGAAGGGCCTGTGTGTCTGCAGGTTTTTACTCCAACAAAGCAGGAGGTCACCTGATGAAACATTTGAAGACTAAGACCAACTGATTAAAGAAGTAGAGTCAGGTGTGCTCAAACTTGTTTGGAGTGAAAACCTGCAGCTACACCGGCCCTTTGTGGATAAGATTGGACACCCTTGGTTTATAAGCAGAAAGTGTTAGGATATATTTTGTATTCTTGTCTTGCTTTGTAAAAGTCATTTATCTTTATTTTAATACACACTTTGGGTGTAAAGTAGAAGCACCTTAAGAGATTTGAAGATTTATTATGCTCTGAAATTGTCTATACATGACTTGGATTACGAGCTAATGAGTCAAATAAGCTCTGAGAACTTCCAGAAAAAAAAAAGTAGCAAAATTTATGTTTTGGCTTCATAATGACCTAAAGCAGAGAATACAGTTACATTAAGGGAAAAACGTACATAGGATAAAATGTATTGTGTTTGGAATCATTTTGTTAAGCACAGGGCGTAATGGTGGTGGTTTCAGTAGATCTAGTCGTTTTTGCCATAGATAAATTTAGCTTAGCACCGGGATTTCCATTGTGGGCATGACTCCAACTAAAGAATAATACAACTTTAGTGGTCTCTATGTCTGTTTGAAGAGTTTGAGTAGTTGGGTGATTGGCTTTTCCACATCAAATGGAAGTTTATTCTTTCTTTACATTTTCTGCCAATTGACATAAGTGAAGCATACTTTTGTTGCATTGCACACTGAGTTTAGATTTTCTTTTCTCTTTCTCCAGAAACGAACGATGTCCTGTTTCAAGTCTTCTCCTGCACTTTCCTACCCAGCTTAAATGTGCTTTCATAAACACATCAGGACATTCCACTAAGAGGAATGTTTAGCTGCCGAAACAGGTGATATAAATGAACATGGCGTCCAGAGGATGTTTTGGTACTCAGCAAACATCATCAGGTACCCTCCACATGAACACATCACATAGACAAACACAGAAACGCAGCAAGGAGAGAACTCACTATTGCTTAGAGTGTGGAAAGAGTTTTACTCAACAGTCTCATCTCAAAATACACCAGCGCTTTCACACCGGAGAGAGGCCTTATCACTGCTCAGTGTGTGGGAAGAGTTTTACTGTACAGAGTCATCTCCAACAACACCACCGCATTCACACAGGAGAGAAGCCGTATCACTGCTTAGAGTGTGGGAAGAGTTTTAATCGTCAGAGTAATCTCCAAGAACACCAGCGCATTCACGCAGGGGAGAAGCCATATCAGTGCTTTGAGTGTGGAAAGAGTTTTAATCGTCACAGTCATCTCCAAAAACACCAGCGCATTCACACAGGAGAGAAGCCGTATCACTGTTCAGAGTGTGGGAAGAGTTTTAGTCATCAGAGTCATCTCAAACAACACCAGCGCATTCACACAGGAGAGAAGCCGTATCACTGTTCAGTGTGTGGGAAGAGTTTTAATCAACAGGGTCATCTCCAGGAACACCAGCGCATTCACACAGGAGAGAAGCCGTATTACTGCTCAGAGTGTGGGAAGAGTTTTAATCGACAAAGTAGTTTTCAAGAACACCAGCGCATCCACACAGGAGAGAAGCCTTATTACTGCTCAGAGTGTGGGAAGAGTTTCAGGCATTCAAGAACTATGGCAAAACACAAGTGCACTAAGAGCATGGTGGAACTGGGCAGTAATGAGTGTAAGCTTAACACATTCCAGGAGTAAAGGTCTCCAGAGAATGGTGCTTCCAGCCCAGATTTCAAATTGTTTTTAGAGGAACACCACATGTTGTTTAACCCTATTTCTAAAACATAAGCATAAATATTATAGCGTCGTCCATGGGCTCTGTCTTTCAAAGGAAGCTCAAAGGGCGTGGCATGCAATATAACACCTGCACATGCCCCTCCTCTTGTTGTTGTTGTTATTAATGTTGTTTGTTAGTTGATGTGTTCATGTATTGTCTGTGTTTCATTGTGTTCTGTTGTGGGTTACTTAGTGTGATTCAGTGTTCACCATCAGTGAGTGTTGTATGGCTGTTGTTGAACTTCCCTGCTATTTTCCCTGTGAGTGTACAGCTCTGCTAGAAATCTAAAAGAGCATAGTTTCCTCTGTTAGAGTTAAAAGCAGTTTTCCTCTCTTGTATTCTGTGTGCCAAGAATAAAGCTTTGGTATGTATATGAGCTTAGAGTTGTCTAAGCTTCATCTGTGCACGCCCTCGCTACAATGTCATTTACTGTGGTGAACACCAAGTCAAGCTGACAGCTCATACACCCATACAGGTGTATACAGCTCATACAGGTGTGGTACATCAGATTCCCTCAAAATTAATTTAATTTGTACTATATGTTGAGAACCATCAAAAAGCTCAACATTCACCAGTAATGTGCTGTTTTACTTTCAAAGTTAGTATATCTAATCTACTATCATGTTTCTGTTGCAGTGATAGATGTTTTGACAAACACAGAATCCTTCGTTTTCTCCTTTGAGTCCTACGCATTAATTAGTTAATGTTTGTTGCAATGAAAGTGCCACTTTGTCTTCCTTTTTAACCTTTAGATGTTTTCTGTATGCTTGGAGTGTTCTTGTTGAGGACTGCTACAAAGGAGATATGACTGAAGACTGCAACAGTGAAGTTTTTGCTGTGCTGGGCAAAACTGAACAGCTTTGTAAAAGAGACAGTAGTATGAAGGACTACAAGACAAGCTCAGAGGTGTACTGATGACCTCTCCTCAGTATGGTGTATGCATGCCCGTTATATGAGGGCTTAAAGTTGCATACAGGCCAGACTACAACACTTCCATGAATTTTCTGTTACTGTTTTCAGAGATGTTAAGGAATTATGTTGATGTCCTTTGTGATGCTTGGAAAGTGATTGTTCCTTGAGAAGTGTGCTGTGACATGAGAAGGAGATTTATGCCCATCTTCCCTCTATCCCACCAGACATGGCAGCAGCCAATAGTACAGGAGTTGGAAGTTATAAGAGTTTTGATTTGTAATGTTGATTTAACATGTGCATGCAATTCTATATGTAGATGTCTAATAAACATATAATGTGCATAAAGTTGACCAAGTCTGCGTTACCAACAGCACTCTCTTTCCTTCTCTTTCTTGATATCTATCTTTCTCTCTCTCCCTCCCTCCCTCCCTCCCTCCTTCTCCTTCACCCTCTTAGTTTTACTTGGCTAAGTGTGTTACACATACAAGGAATTTGTCTTGGTGAGTGCACACAGGTAAGATACTAAATAGACCAGAGGAAGAAAATGAATAAAAATAGAATAAATAATAAGAGATTAGATATAGAAAAGCTAACATGAAAGGAGCTAAAGAGATAAATACATGAATATATAATATGTGAATAAGTAAAATAAATCTGAAGAAGTAAACTATTATTTACAGGAAAATACAGGATGATATGAATATTTGTACAGTTGTAAAAGCTGTAGTTGGTGTATTTTTGTCACTTTGTCAGTATTACAGCACTCAAAAAAAGGAACACTGCAGTGAGTGATAAACTACATTTGAGTTTATCTTTTTCTCCCAGAATGGCTGAATTGTGGAGGTAAGTCACTCATGAGCTGCTGTGCTGAATGTTGTGATCTAACGCTCTCTCTCTCTCTCCAAAACTCTTTGTTCTTGTACAGTGTGCAGCTCTGCAAGATTTTTAACTTCAAAAGCAGCATTTTGATTTATGAAGTTTATAATATTAGACTAAGTTAGCTGCTTAACTAGTGGATCAATACTACAGTGTTTATTGTGAGAGCTTTTATGTTCTTCTATATTTACTCACTTAGAATTCTGAAATTCACAATTTATATCTAATTTATATAATAAACTTTCGGATCCCCAGTTCATTTAAATCCTAAACTTTAAAATAAGAATTTTAAAACCTGGAATAATGTTGATTAAGTTTAATCTTACATTTATTTGATCTGGATTTGTGCAACTCAATCCTAATTATTTCTAATTCATGATCACTAAACTCTCCCATTAGTACATGAGAGATTTCCATCAGTTAGTATATTTGCATCTTTTTATATCTCTTAGGGTAGTTTGCATGATCCACCACCCAAAGAATACCTGCTCTGTGGGGCTTCCATATCGCAGACTGGACGTGACGAAGTCATGTGACTACATGCACGGTAGTAAGTTTTTAAGGGGACAGTACATGAACGCACAGCGTGGGGAAAGGATTAACAGAATTAAAAAAAAATCAAAATAACCGACATGGGTAAGATTGCGTCGGTTAGAGGTTCTGAATGTAGGTTTCGATTACTTTTCGATTAATTGCCCAGCTCTACTATGAGTGTAGATACGAGGAGGTGTAATTAATGAAGTGGCTGGTGTGTGTGTGTGTGTGTGTGTGTGTGTGTGTGTGTGTGTGTGTGTGTGTGTAAAATACAATTTTTCTGCCATTATAAAATAACTAATGCTGTGTTTGTTTGTATTCACCACAGGTTAGTACTAATATGGTGGAGTTCCTGTCTCAGACAAAAGTCTCCAGACCTGATCTGTTTGTTTTATCTGTAGCAGGTGATCAGTCTTTTGCCATCATTAATGGAGAAGCTGTGGAGCAGGGCACAACTGTTGGAGCAGTTGACATCTGTTTCAAGGCATTCTGTGTACTTGATATCTTTGTACTCCAGCAGTGTTCTCCAGTTTGGGAGTGTGTATAGACTGTTGTGTGTGAGCTTCTAGGTTAGGAATCCCTGCAATAAGGCTTTATTTTTGCCACTGAACAGTGACATGCATCCATGATCAGCTTCCAGAACAAGAAGGGAGTGTTAGAAGACTCTTGATGTATAAGATCTCTGTGCAGTCATTTTGTAAGTAACGTTGAAATTGTAACTGGGAATCCAGTGCTGACAAATGTTTGTTGTTCCTAAATGCATTGTTAGTGTTTGAAGTTGAGTTATGGTAAGTGTTAATTGCGACAATTTTCTGTTGTTAATTCAGTGTAAAATGGATGGTAAATGCACATTGTGAATATATAAGTACTATTTATATAATTGATTGAATGTTATCATATGTTATGTATGCAGTATTTCCCATGTTACACTTAATGGGTCTTATGCACCTATTAATATAAAACATAATATAAAATTCAATATATAAATATATAAAATAAATCACTACATTTTTAGTGGTTAAATGTGATGTTTCATTTTTATGCATATTATTTAAATTTCAGCATTGCTTTCTTGTGTAAGGATATAATATTGTGTAATGTAATTAGTTATTTAAATTTATCAATGGAATGGAATGGAAAAAAGAAAACAACCCAGCCTTTGGTTCATTTAACCCAGCAATACAGTAAAAAGTACACAGCTGTTAGATTAATTGCTTGACCCAAAAAGCTGGGTCAGATTAATAACCCAAGATATTGGGTCATGTCTACCCAATGCTGTGTTTGACTAATATTGACCCAGCACTGGCTTATAAAAATGACCCCATTTGGGTCAATTTCTACCCAGTCTTTTTTAGAGTATGTAATAACATGAACTATTTTTATTCAACTAAAGAAAATTACATTGATTGAAAGAATCATTCATTCAAAGTATTTATTTAGGTTAAATAAAACTAGTTAATTTACCTGTTACCACATGAAGTAACTCTTTTAGGTTGGTCAGAGGAGCCATTTTTTTACATGTGTTTTAGTGCCCTGCTCATAGAAACATGATACAATGAGAAACAGAAAGACCAAAGGCAAAAAACACAGTAAACTACTGTGACTTATAGGATTTATTTGTGTTTGTTTGGTCAGTGAAAGTTTGTTGTGTAAAACTCATGTATCTCCCATTGTCTTCTGGCACCATCTGTTTGCATATTATACACATTGTTCCCCTGTTTTGTTTACCCTCTGGTCAAGCTTCCCTGATGTATGTGTTTCCCTTTTGTTCTTTGGTTAATTATCTAGCACCGCTGGCTGTAAAAGTGAGTTAATGTGCACTCTATTGCTGAAAGTGTTCCTACACTGCACTGTTAAAATGTCAGTTCAACCTACAAAATTGCTTCATGCGGTAACAAGTAATTAAACTAATTTTATTCAACTTAAGTAAATTGGACTGAACCAACATTTTACTCAAAGCATTTCTTTGAGTTGAATAAAACTGTTTAATTTTCTTGTAACCAAATAAAGTACATTTTACAGTTACTATTTTTGGCTGTGTGGCTGTATCTTAAATATTTTGGCTTGGCTTGTGTTGTTTTTTTGCCCTTATAATTTAAATTAAATAGAAGTATGCATCGTACATAAAAATGGTCAGTCCAATTAATTTCCATTCATTCAATTCGTTATTATGGCACTTGAGTACTAATTGAGTACTTACTCAAGTATCCAAGAAGTCATAAAGTCATGTTGAACAATGTGACGTAAGATTTTTAAGCACATTTAAGCAAAAATAAAGAACTCTTTCATGATGCAAAGAACCCTTTAATCACACAAAGGGATCTTTAAGTGTTCATGGTTCTAATTTCTTTACTAAGGAACACTTGAAGCACTATATTTTTTAAGAATAAACAGAATTCATTAACTCATCACCACATCTGCATCAGGATTTCACCTGAACAGTAACCAGTCACTGTAATTCATAATTTACATTACCACGTCTTGTTAGACTAGATAAACTACACTACATCGTTTTGAATGAGATTGTGTTGAATTTTATTTCTTTATTTTATTTTATTGCGATGTTACTACTAAAAATTGTATTGGTAATAGTAATAGTTATAATAATACAAGTGATATTTACA